ATACATATATATATATATATATATATATATATATATATATATATATATATATATATATATAACCATAGATCACACACCTGTGGCTCAATGGCATGGGTATTCACGATGACACGCTTAATATCAATCAGCTCTGTGTAATGCTGTAATAGAATTGGTTTAATAAATTGTAACAAGAGAACTCAGTTCAAGATAACTACTGAGAAGCATTTAACCTGAAGGGCTCGCATATATAGGCCAGCCTTTTCACATAGCTGAGCTATTTGAGGACGATCATAATGAGTAAACATTCCATTAGCTAATATAGCATCTGCAACATTAGGATATGTCACCAAATTGATCTCCAGAACCTGCAATGCTGACAATAATTAGGAAAATAACTGAGATGAGCAAGAAGACTACTTAACAAATATAACCATGAAAGCATCACCTTAGTTTGAAGAAAGGCATGCTCAGGTAGATTTGGCTTTAAGACATCTAACAAAAAGGCAGTTGCCTCTCGGATCATATTTCTCTAAAGAAAAACAATTATACCAAGAAAAAAAGAACATATTTTTAGCATCTACTAAATAAACTAAAGAGTTAACCAAGTAAAATATGTCATGCTATGCACTTTTTAAAACACTGGTTAAGTATTTCAGAAGAATAAGACAAAGAACCCCGACAAAATATATAAACCTGAAGAAAGATATCAGTAATTGTATTATAATCCACTGGACAGCCACCCTCCATTTGAGACATCATAAGAGCAAAATTAACTGCTCCCTGTAATGCAAAGGTATCACTAAGTCAATAAGTCAAGACTAAAATGGAAATTTAGACAAGAATGAATAAGTGGATTTAAGGCTTAAAAAAATCCATGGTGCATGTAGATTATGGAGCAACTCAGAAGACAAATAATAATATAATATATCATACTAAATAATGCAGAGGTCAAAGGTCTATTAGCAATAAATTATAAGAGTATCTTCAATACCATCAACAGTTGATTAGTCCAAGAACAGAATCTTACCTGAGGATCTGACCTTAAAATTGTTTGCAGAAGGAAAAGGTAATCTGGCACGTATCCCACCTGCATTCAGGAGTGTATGATCATCACTTTCAGGTGGCCATTTTACAAAAGCTTTCTTCTGCAGAGAATTAAAAATGCATATGAATGTTGTAATTCCCCTCTTCCCCTTCTACTCCACCCTCACAAGTTGTGTGGCTTACAGGTGCATGAGCTCTGGTTTGTGTGGTTGCACATGCATAACATTTGCTGCTGATATGCACAGATATTCCACAAAACAAAAAAAATTCAAGCATGTGCTTTAGTAGACATGTTCTGAAACAATTACCAAAAAGTACCTGCTTTGAATAGATAAGTATCTTGTCAAACTCTCTTCGTTCAGCAAAAGCAGCAACAACTTTTGGGGTAGCCCTTGCTTTTATATAGATTTTTAGTGCTAGATCATTGTCGACAGTCTACAGGTGGAAGGGTGATCGAAGTTGAAAAATAGAGAACAGAAAAAACAGCTTTCCCTATAGAAAGTCACATATCTACCTTGACAAGATCCCCCAGTTCTTCACTGCACTCAAGCTTGTCTTCAGCCAACCAATTTTCCAATAGATTCTTTTTGTTCTGATTTACAACAAGGCGAGATAACTCCAAAGACTCAAAGGCATTTAGTTTTCCTCTGGTTAACAATGTTCCAAAGTACTGTAGAAGAGGAGGTGTCTGTCCAGCTTGCACAGGAACACTCTGCACAGTGTATAAAGACACTCAAGTAAATGGTGCACCAAGCCTCAAGCTGTAAAGCATTTCAAGATCTGGTCTGAGTGAATACATAACTTTTCCTTGTCAAGAGTATCTATTAGTAGAAATAGACAAATGATTCTATTAAACTGTAGAAAATAAAAAAATTCAAATGATAACAAACAGGCTGGCTATACAAGTTCAATGCAAAAAACCAAAGAAAGAGAGAGAAGAATAAAAGAACAGAATTGAAGTACTTGAAATTTTGCCACAGTCTCCGGAGTTCTCAGGATGTCTTGTGGAGATTCAGCAGCTAGTTCGGCAGCCTCCTTGTATTTTGTCTGGGAAAACAATTCTTGGAACCTCTGCACAACCTGATGGTGCACAAAACTAATTAGGAATATATTTACATCAATCCTGGAGGCTTTAAAACTTGGCTGCCAAAGGAATTCCAGTGTAATAATACACGTTACTAAAATCTTCTACAAGGACTGTCGTGCCATGCTGACCGGTGGTATCGATCCATGGGCAGACTAGTACATGCTGATTGGTACCGGTATATCATATGTTGGTACACCGGTATGTACCAGTTTTTGGAGAAAAGGTTAAAAATTACTGAAAATTCACAAAAATTCTTTTTTAGGTTTCTTATCCTAATTGAATAGTAATTTTATTATATTTAATTAAGAATAGAGTGTATATGAGGCATAAATAAATGCATAAGGCTATGAATAACCTTGAATACCCCATTTTGGGCCAAAATGTAAGACAATAAACATAACTGGGACAAAGGCAAGAGAATAAACTTAATCACGTTTAATCTTTGTAAATATGCATTAGTAATGCCTCTAATTATATGAAATGATAAATAAAAACAAAAAGAAGCTAAATACCTTCGAATTTGAGGGAAATTTCACTAGATCCTGAGTTCTAATCCCATTTTTATCCAAATCAATATCTTGATTACCACTAATTGTTGATTAGGAACTTTAATTACAAGCGAGAGTGTGAGGAAGAGTGAGAAGAGATGAAATAAAAGTGACTAAGAGTGAGTGAAAGAGGGAGGAAGGAGGGGATTTAAAGCCCCAAAAGAAGCCCCAATGATCAATTTGACCGTTCGGGTCAAACTTGACCCGATTTACCCGTATCAACCGATACATCACCCGAACCAATCAATACATAACCTTAAAATCTGCATACCCCGAAACGGCCTGGTCCACGTACCAGTTAGCTTGTAGACTGGGCCACCCGTTTCAAACATTGATCTTCTATTTATTGGTAACAATTTTAGGGGAGTCTCTAGAGGTGAGATTTTGAGTTCAATTAGTGTCCTCGATTCCCTATATGAGGATAGCATAAGTTAGACAAGTTATTTTACTAATAAGATTCGTATTTAAAGAATAGGACAGGTTTCTTTTTGCAAATTTTATAGGGTGACAAGATCTACTCTTTTTCCCATAACTCCTATAAATAAGTGAACTTATAAAACCAAGAGCCACGGTTAATTTTTCTTTCTTTACAATTTTTGTTATCCTTCCTACTCCCATATTCTCATGGAAGCCTATTCCCCGACGAAAAAGATTAGCTCCCTGATATATGCACATATGTAACAAGTGAATTTTTACATTATAAAGAAATTACATGGAAAAAACTGGAACTTGTGATTTACCAAATTTTCTGCCCCTGGAAGATTTCCTCTTTTAGCAAGGCTAACAGCAAGCTCCAGATTATTCAACTGCAACAAGCACGACATACTAAAAAATATTTCAACATCTGCCATAAGATTGAATGGTCCAACTAATAAATACTGATGTGCTTACTTGACTGCTGACAAACGGCACAATGGTTGCTTCATTAACAGCAGCCAATAAAACCTGTCCTCTCCTATTAATAGCATAAAATCCACCAATTGTTGAAGCCTCCGCGGTCAAGAATATAGGATCTGGACTAATTCTATTTCTGTACACTGCTGTTGCTGTTTCAAGATCATATACAAATAACAGACCAAGCTTCGTGATCACATATATCAAACTATACTTATGTGAGATCTGGAAAAAAAAAATGTATATATGTTAATACCAAATCAACAACATCTACTGGAGACTACAAGAATAGAGATTATATTCATTACCTGCATTGCCACTGGGAAATCATCAGCAAAATCTGGTGGAAAAAATAAATCTGCCTGTTTCTTGGTGAAGCCTGGTTTACCTGAAAAAGGAACTTATGCTTCAGAACATAGGTTAAAACTAGTAAAAAGAAGGAAAACAAAAAACCTTCAGAAAAAACCAGTTGGTACATTTAGACTAAGTTCATGAATTTGCACCAAAGAAGTTACTTGGTGACTGAAGAAACACCAAGAAAGGAGGGCGAAAGCAAGGAGGTAACTATAGCTTTTATAGAGAGCACTTGGAGAAAAGATGTCCCATCAGGGAAAAAGGACTTTCTGATATTTGCTCCACTGAAAACTGTTTTCTACAGTGACAACCTTCCAAATATTAGGGAAACATTACTTCTTAATTCCCGCAAACACCAGGTGAACAAGAACAAAGTTAACTAATTTTTTGAAAGACTCCATTTGATTCCAACAGAAAGTGCTTTACCTTCTCCAATTTCTTTTTAGGAATGTAGAAATGAAAAACATGTTTCTAATACTAGTAGCATAATCATAGTAGAAAATCCAAGGCTATATGAAAATGATTGCCATCTGCAATATCTTCTATAGATTTTACAAGATTCTTCGCAATCAAACATATAGCTTCACAAGGGAAAATTAAAAAAACTGCATTATTCAAAATTTTCAAATAGCAATTTCCAAATTCAGAGGACAAGCATATTCAGAATTTTATACAACCTGGTTGGGCTCCCAGTTCAATCACATGCAACTTAGAGGTAATCTGTCCAGCGTTAGTGGTCTTTGAGGCAAAACAAATGAGAGTGGAGGGGTTTTCTTTTCCAACAACCTGTTTACAATATAAGTTCAAAAATAATACAAAAGGAAAACATAAAATGAAACAAGCAAGCACATCAACCAAAGGAGAATATTAAAAAAAAAGAATCAAATTAAAGACCTTAAATGTTGCAAAAGATGCAGCATGTGCTTCAAGTGCCTGACTGCGCTGCTGTTCCACTGAAAAAAGCTGCATATTTCCTTTCACCAGTTGGGGTCTCTGCAGCACCAAATGTATGGCATGGGATATGAAGTTAGTTCACTTAGAAGAGTAACTACGGCACATAAAACAAAAAAAACTGGATGTCAAAGTTGGAAGAAACAGGGTATTCCTAAATGAAGAGATGAACTGATGAAGTGAAAACAGCATAAATGCAACAAAAGGCAACCGAAGTCTGATAAAGATTTTATGATTGATGAACAACAACAACATGGAAGGCTAGCTTTCTGAAGTCAAGCAAGAAGATACTAAGAAGACTGCCATGAGCATATTAAAAGATGGTCACAAATTGAATGACATGTAATTTTTTAGCTGACCTGTTGCTTGTCTATACCCCACCTCAACCATGCAGTTCAATTGCTAGAAACAAGAAGATGTAAACAAAATAATGAAGAAATCAATCCAGGTACAAGTCTTTCTTAGAACTCCCCAATATACTAACATCAAAATTTTCCATCCTTTTAGTCAACAAATGAAAGTTCCATTTCACCATCAAGCTTGCCCAGAAAACCTGCATCTAGCATATTCTCTAGTAATGCAACACAAACAACTTTATCGACAAGCTAATGCAACACATAGTCACATACAACCTCTAGTATTCTCTAGTAAGAAGAGCCTTCTTTCTAGTATTCTCCAACATAAGGAGTCCTAATATCATGTTAACTCTCGCTCAAGTTATTTAGTATTTCCAACTCAATATCAATCTTCTATTCTGCATGTTGGTTATGAGACTAATTTACATGTCTAGTTAAAACTTCCATTATAAATAAGATCTACATATGGGGCCCCTGCCTCCTGCATGGTCGCACCTTTTTTTATCTTTTTAGGCTTCATACCAAGTGATACTCCATGGACTTGTGGAGCTAAGCGATACTACATCAAGTCTTATGCCAATAGCATTCTAATTTTTAATCACACCTTACCGCTATTCACCATGTCTTAGAAAACACTTTGTACATGGTCTAATTGAGCACCAGTATAATGGAGAATTGTCATATACTGAAGTGCTGTACTTACAGATACGGATGACATACCAGTCAATCTTTAGTGGGCCAACAGGTGCAGTAAGAAATAGTTAGTTACAAGTAATTTAAACCTTACTCTGGACACATTCATTTGTAGCCAACATTTAGATCATTTAATTACTTCTTGCACTTATTCAGTCTAAGATACAAAATGATGTGCTCAGTTGAGTGGAGTCTGCTTTTTTCAAATATGTCAACTCCTCAAAGATTGTTTGGATATATAATTAGCATTCTTTTTTTTCTTTGTAGTAGAAGAGTAGCCTAGAACACAAGGCTCCTACCAATGCAATATCTTAGAAGGTATGCATCCTTATCCTTGTATAGAGAGAGGCTATTTTCGTGACTCAAACTCTAGCCATCTAGTTCACAAAGATATCATTCTTCTTCGAATACTCTTTTATTTGTCACTTGTCAGCATCATTCAAGCCTTTCCTCACTCGTATGGTGTCAGCCATATAAAATGAGAAGGCTTATGGAAGATATGGTGAGATCCTATGACTGATCAACCAAACATCAATCCTCCAAAGGTAGAAACCCAGTTCCTAACAGGAAATCAAGGGGCAAGAGATGGATTTCCATAAAATCTAAAATATAGCTAGCAGTTAAACAAATCAGTGAATTGGTTGAAGCTCAAGTTTGTTCCAAGAGGCTAGAAGAATTGAGAAATAACAAGTAAAGGAACCACATTCATCCCAAAGCCAATTCTAATTCAAATCCATCATTCTATATCTGTTATTGATTTGGATTTATTAATCTTTACCTGCCATTAGAGGTTACTTATCTGTGTAGTTGAGGATGTAGCAAAATAAAATTACTGATTGTTCAGCTTTGTGGTTGCAGTTTCAAAAAACTAATGCTTTTAACAAAAATCAGAGGAAGACATTGCATTTCATAAACCCAAAGTTCTATATCCAACATGACATACTTATGCAAACAAAAAATAAAGAAATGTCAACAAAGCTCAAGATGAGCTGATGAAGTATTACAATCAACAGCAAAATTGCATAACAATATGCAAAGAAGTTATTTGACCAAAAGAATATTTTATAAATTAAATTCAGTGCAACCAGATGGTAAGTCAGCAGACCTCAGGAGCTCCAGGTGCAATTCCAATGAGAACAAGCCATTTTTCTGAGGGATCGCACCGATAGTTGATGATTTGATTGTTTGTTAAGTTAGCTGCCCTATCAAACACCTTAACAGGCTCACTGTCACCTGGATTTGAGGGAAAACAACACAGATTTCAAAATTCACAGCATGACAATAATGGTTAACTAATTTGATTCAAACTTGGAATGATTCATTTCGCAGATGAGGTTTACCTTCAATTGACCAGTGATAGACTGAAGCTTGTGTAACTAGCCCCAACATTTTTGGGTTAATCCACTTCCAAAAGACAACCTGCACATGTTCCAAATTAAATAAAGAATTCAGCTCTTCAAAGATTACAGACCAAAGGAAAATAACAAATGAAAATTGGGGCAATGGAAGCATTTAAATTCATTCTAATTTTACCTGCTCAGGCATCTGATGAGATTTTATTTTAGTCTTCTGTTCAATATTGAAAATCTGTAGATGATCCTGCATGGTTCCCTGTATTTGTGCTGCATATCCCCAAAGACAATAGACTAAATAATACCAGTTCAAACATAACAATAGTACGACAAAAGAAATTTCAAAGAACCTCCTCTAACAACCCCCAAAGTAAGTAATGTTTCATTTCACAAAAGCTCTCCATTAAAGAAAATCCCAGAAGGTATATTTCTAGTTGTAAAAATTCTAGTGGCAAATGTTACAAGCATCTACCTAATACTTTACAATAAATATAGCAGCATAAACATTCTGCTTCTGTAACCTGCTTTGAACAGTCAATAATCAAGAAGTTGACTGCAAAATTACAGATATACCATAAAGATATGCTGATGAGCATTCCAAAGAAACAATATATGAAAAGATACCACATTTATAAATAAATATAGATATGATTTTATATACATTACATGTTGTGACAAGGTCAAAGAGCCTCAAGAAGTCAAGAAACATATTTAGGTTGTTTACACTCTCCTTATTCTTGTTTCTTTTTTCTTTCCTCCATTTCTACTTTAAATGAAAACTTCACCCATTGCATTGCAGACACATGAAAATAAAAATTCAGCATCATTATAGTCATGTTTGTGCACTTCAAAAAAGAATTTCCCTGTGTTGGGACAAACTATGGAAGAAGCTTATGATCAAAAACAAAGAAGTCATATATTAACAAGGTTTGACATACCGAAGCGTACCGCTCGATACGGGTAATATGTATTGGTCCGATAAAAGACCGGTATGGGCGGTACATCAATATAACCTAGTGTACCATGTTGTCATGGACTTCGCTGGAATTGCCTAAGTCGTGAGACACTCTTGCGGCAAAGACGCGAACTTAGCTTGCGTTGCCTAAGTTGTGCTTCGCCCTTGCGATTTGTGTCCGTAAAGATCAGCCCACTTGCAACCTCTCGTAGGTCCCGAAGGACCTGTAAAAGAGAAAGTTGATTAGTTCGAAGAACGAGCGATGGACAAGTTCCGACGTCTCGCGAAAAGGGGAAGCTTTACAAGCAATTCAGCGAGCACCTTGCGTGCACAAGAGAAAAGAGGGAGAGGAGGAAAACAATGACTTTAGAGGGTTGAACGAACAATTGCAAGTCCACAAACAACTGCTCACCGGGTGCCGGGCGCGACAACAAGTTCCCATCAAGGTAACGTGCGAACTTACGAAAGACTGTTTAATGCCCGACACTATACCGAAGCCCCATCCCCCATGGTGCCACCCGGGTGGTTCCAGGGTGCTGAGATGGCTGACATTTCGCGTGCAGCAGTGGGCTACAGAAAACAGCCCGTGGCACGCGAAAGCGGAGCTGTTTTGCTCGGTTCGGTGAGCGATCGCACTGTAGCGCTGCAACTTGTTCACACTTACATTTTTACAAGCAAAAGGACTTAAAACCAAGCCAAAACATGCTGCCAAGTAGCTGTACATGTAGATGAGAGCAACGAATAGTTCGTTGAACGGAGTTGTTGCGGGTGCGCGATGACCGTTCGAGACATTCTCCCCCACTCAAACTGTCGACGCCCTCGTCGACGCTTGTTGATAGTTGTTGATGATTGCTTCTTCATGTCGTAGGGCGTCTTCAAGCTTCCAACTGACTTCAGTTCGGGGAAGCTTTCGCCACTTCACCAAGTACTCGGTCTACTCAGCTTCAGTGGGTAGCTTTATCTTGCGATCCACTAAAATGGTTTCAACTCGCTTCTCGTAGGAGGCTGTGGTGGGGGGTAGCCGAGTTAGAACACTTCGGGAAGCATCATGCGGATCCGAGTGATAGGCTTTCAAGTTGCTGGCGTGAAGAACATTGTGAATTTTGAACCACGCCGGCAGCTGCAACCAAGGTTCGCAATGCCGTACCGTACCGGTATTTCGACCTGGGCTCGGTACCGGTACGGTACGGTATACCGAGCGGTACACATGGGTGTACCGAGTACTGTAGCACTGCTGTAGTGCTACAGTAAACTGCTACAGTGTTACAGTACCTCGGAACGGTAACAGTCGGTCCGCGTACCGAAAACCTGTCGGACCGGTACGTACCGCCCGTACCGGGCAGTACGGCTCGGTACGGCAGACCCTGGCTGCAACTTGTAGGAGACGTTGCCCACCCTGCTGATAATTAGGAAGGGCCCTTCGTACTTGCGCACCAATCCTTTATGTACTTTGTTCCTAAAGAATTGGAGTGATGCTGGTTAGAGCTTGACCAACACCAAATCGCCGATCTTGAACTCTTGTGGTCGCTTTCCCAAGTCTGCCCACTTCTTCATTCTTTTTACCGCCTTCTCCAAGTAAGCCCACGCAATATCTGCATTTCGGTGCCACTCCCTTGTAAAGTGGTAGGCTAACGGACTACTCCTAGTATACCCAATTACCATGGTGTGAGGAGTTGACGGTTGTTGCCTTGTAATGATCTCGAAGGGGCTCTTGTTGGACGCAGAGCTCCGCTGCAAGTTGTAGGAGAATTGGGCAATGTCCAACAACTTCACCCAATCTCGTTGGTTGGCACTCACGTAGTGCCGAAAATATTGCTCTATGAGCGAGTTTATCCTTTCAGTCTGGCCATCCGTCTGGGGGTGGAGGCTTGTGGAGAAGTATAACTTTGACCCCAACAATTTGAATAGCTCGGTCCAGAATCATCCCAGGAACCGAGCGTCTCGATCACTAATGATATTGTGCGAGACTCCCCAATACTTCACCACATCCTACATCATCAGCTTGGCCGCCTCCTCTGCTGAATAGTGTAAGGGAGCAGCAATGAAAGTTGCATACTTAGAAAATCGATCGACCACCACAAGTATCGATCCGAGTCTCCCTACTGCGAGCAAGCTTGATATGAAGTCCAAGGAAATACTCTCCCATGGCCTTTCTGGTACGGGCAATGGCTCCAAAAGTCCCATCGGCTTCCGTTGCTCCACCTTGTCTTGTTGGCAAGTGAGGCACGTTTGAACATATTTCTCCACATCAGTCCCCATCTTCGGCCAATAGAAGGCCCTCTCCACGTGAGCCAAGGTTCTATGAATGCCTGGGTGTCCAACTCAAAGGGAATTGTGACACTCTCTTAAGAGTTCACGTCTCAAATTGTCCACTCGAGGAACATAGACCCTATTCCCTTTGGTGTAAACGAGTCCCTCCTGGACCCAAAACCGTCGTGTCTTGCCTTCTTTAATGAGCTGTATCAGGGCTTCTGCTTGGGGATCACTATACAGTCCATCCCTGATCCTGGAAAGGAAGTTGGAGTGCAACTGACTTGCTTGGCCTCTGCCCTCTAATTGTACGGCATTCACACGCTCCACTTTCCGACTCAATGCATCGGCCACGAAATTCGCCTTTCCGGGCTTATACTCCATTGCCATATCAAACTCAGTCAGGAAGTCCTGCCATCGTGCCTGCTTTGGGGAGAGTTTCTTCTGAGTTTGGAAATAGCTCAAAGCGATGTTGTATGTCCTTAGTACAAATCGCGATCCAAGAAGGTAGTGTCGCCAAACTCGTAGACAGTGGATCACCACTGTCATCTCCTTCTCGTGCACCGGATACCGTCGCTCGGTCTAGTTGAGTTTGCAGCTCTCGTAGGCCATCGGATGACCTTCCTGCATGAGTACTCCCCCAATAACGAAGTTTGAAGAATTTGTATGGACTTCGAAGGGATCCCCATAGTCTAGCAATTTGAGCACTGGTTCTTCCAACACGGCAGCTTTCAGATCTTGGAATGCAATTTCACATTTATCAGACCACCTCTAAGGCTGCTCCTTCTTCAGCAACTCCGTTAGTGGAGTTGCACGCTTCGAATATCCCGCTATGAAGCGTCGATAGTAGTTGACGAAGCCAAGGAAGGATCTCAACTCTGGCACCTTCTTTGGAGTTCGCCATTCCGCAACCGCTTGCACCTTCGATTTGTCCATCTAAATGGAGCCATCACCAATTCGATGCCCCAAAAATAAGATCTCCGTTTGAGCAAAGTAGCATTTCTCCCTTTTCAAGAACAAAGTGTTCTCCCTGAGAACCTTGAAGATTGTCCGAAGGTGCTTGACATACTTCTCGAGCGTTTGACTGTAGACGACGATGTCGTCTAAGTAGACGATCATGAACTTATCCAAATACTCCTTGAATAGCAGGTTCATGATAGTGCAGAACGTGGCCAGAGCGTTGGTTAAGCCGAAAGGCATCACCAAGAACTCAAACGCTCCATACCTAGTCACGCAGGTAGTCTTCGCTTCGTCGCCTTCAGCAATGCGCACCTGCCAATACCCCGACCGATGGTCAAGTTTTGAGAAATACTTGGCTTTCCCCAACTGGTCGAACAAGTCCACGATGAGCAGGATGGGATACTTGTTCTTTACCGTCACTTTGTTGAGGGCTCGGTAATCAACGCATAGTCGGAGGCTCCCATCTTGTTTCTTCTGGAAGAGAACTGGAGCTCCGAATGGTGCTGTAGAACTGCGGATGAGACCACCGCTTAGTAGTTCACCTAACTGCTTTCTGAGTTCTGCCAACTCTGGCGGGGGCATGCGGTAGGGTGGTCTCACTGGAGGCTTCACTCCCGGCTCCAGCTCGATGTTGTGATCCACACCTCTGCGTGGCAGAAAAGTCTTCGACAACTCGGGTGGCATAACGTTAGTGAACTCTTTCAGGACGTTCGCCACCACAACAGGTTCATGAATGGCCTTCTCGTCGAGTGGTTCTAGCTTCATAGTAGCCACGAATGTTAATTCACCTTTTCGCACCCCTTTCTTCAGTTGTAATGCCGATATATGTTGGGGTTCCCTGGCTCCTCTCCGAGAGACGGGAACCACACAGGGGTCGTCACCTCCCATCACATAAAGGGAGTTAAGGAACGGCATTGGCACTAACTTCGCTGCATGCATAAATTTCATTCAAAGAATCACTTGGAAGTCATCCAATGGCATCGCCATCATGTTTGTGCTCTCGCTCCATGTTCCGATCTTGATGGGAACTCCCTTTGCCAACCCGGAGATTTGCTTGGCCTTCAAGTTCACCGCCTTCATTCGACTTAAGCTCTTCTCCAAGATC